ATATAAAGGAAAAAAAGTGTGCGATTTGACGTGGAATGGCTCATTATTTCTAAGTTTCTGCCTTTTCTTTTTACTGGTAGTTTTCTTCAGTTTCTCGGAATGGTGAGGTAATAACTGATATGTGATAACTTGATTGGATACACAAAATTTGCTTGCTTAATGAGTGTGTAATGCAGTGTGTGATGACTTTAACTTTTAGGTATCTGAAAACTTTAAGAATAAGAGCTCTAGCCGAATTATTAAGACTGTAGTCAGTCATGTTGGGGAGTGGCTAATTGATTGTGATTGCTTTAGTCTCTTGAATTTTGTTGTGTGGGTTTTCCTCTTAATTTCTTCTACCTTTTTAAAGTTTTAAACACTTCTTACTTGTGTTGACAAGCAAACGAAATTTGAAAGTGTATTTTAAACATTTTTAGCGCTGATGATCCAATCACCTATGCTGAAAAAAGGAGGTCTTATAAAAGGAGAGTTTTGCGCAAAAATAGTTCCTGCATAACGGGTTCCTCGCAGAGTAACTTCACTGAACACGATAGCTGTAAGACTGAAAATATTTAGAGAAAACTTTAGCGGAATTATTTAGTTTATTTTTATTTCTTATTTATTTGTTTTTTTGACAAAGTTATGGCAGGTTTTAGTCTTTCTAAAAACTGTACTTATTAATGTTCTTTGGTTTTCAACGTTGGTCATCTTTGGAAGAGGTGCAGAAGGCAGTAAGATATCTAAACGCAATTGACATCCAGTGGTTGTAAAGAATTTTCACAACCTGACATTTCTTTATTTTGTTACAGCTGAAGATGACCTGACTAGCGACTTATTAAGCCATGGTACATCGATGTTATTCAATCTTCTTCCGAGAAAGTGGGAAGTCGTTCAAGTGAGCATGGAGCATAATGGCCTCTTTTTTTTTTTCTTTTTTTTTTGTTTTGTTTTTGAAAAGTTTGAAAACCGATAGAACTAAGTGCTTTTTCAGATAAAGAAATCGAAAACTTAGATTGTTAATTTGCCTTTTAAAGATAACTGAGTTTTTGAAACCTGAAGATTTTGGCAAAGGTTTTTTTAATGATCGTTTCTTTCTGATTGCAGCCATATTACTTAGAAAACGTTAACTTTCGAATATGTACTTACAACGTGCTATCTCAGAATATTATCGATCGTACTGTATTCCTTTACGAACATCTTTTAAGGTAAGCAATGAGACTTAGGTCTTTGTGTCCTATTCTTTTAAAGGAAGATTTAGTTCTTCAGCAGTATGCTTATACGTTTAGTTCTGAAAGCCGTCACCACGAAATATCTTGGTCTTACCGTTCTGCACTCTTGGCTAAGGAATTTGGTTTAATTGGAGCTGACGTTTTTTGCCTTCAAGAAGTTCAAAATGACCACTATGAGATCTTCTTCCGGCCAACTATGGAAAAAGGTTGCATTTTTAATTCTTAGGGTAAACTAATGATTATGATCGTAAAGCTGTCTGAATTTATATTGCTTATTTCACCAAACTTAACTCAACAACCTGGCAACAATTTTTACTTTGTTTGTAATTCCTGAAAAAACTACACTTTTGTATACTTTTGCACCTCTAATTTTTTTTGTAACTGGTGGTTCTACTTTCTCTTAACTTCTTCTCCTTTATTCCTCGATTAGGTATAATTTTTTAAGGAACATTCATTCATTTCTTTTCGTTTAAAGTTTTTTGGTGGCTAGTCACTACATCGTGAAGAGGAAATGTTAGTTTTATGATTTTCAGCGGGATACAGAGGGATTTATAAAAAACGTGCTGATCCGCTAGTAGATGGCTGCGCCATTTTTTATCGCGCTGACTTTGAACTAGTTTACCATAAGGACATTGAGTTTGTATTTGGCAGTGAAAAATCCTTTAATCACGGAAATGTTGGTAAGTATCAATTTTTTGCGTAGTCTTATGAATTTTTTGTTACTTCTATCAAAGTATGCTTACTTAACCAATTATCCTGACTGCCTTAATAGTGCAAATACCGTGGCCCATCGTGTACCTTAAATAACTTTTTTAGCTCAGGTAGTACGACTTCGAACAAAAGATGGTGGCGAAGTTTGTGTTACGAATACCCATCTTCTGTTTAATAGACGTCTAGGTCACGTGAAGATTGCTCAGGCAGTCCGGTTATTGGCGTCTATTTATGAGGTTGGAACAAGCTCAGGAGTTTTAGTTATGCGCTTTTTGAAATACCTTTAAAACTGTTTTTTCACTGTTAATTCGAGGAACGGTTTTGCAGGCAACACCTGATAGTTGTCCATTCATAATGTGCGGAGATTTTAACATGCAGCCTGAGAGTCCAATGTGTAATTTTATTTCTGATGGCTTTTTACCATTTGCTAATCTAAAACAGTTTGAAGTATCTGGTCAGGGTGGCTCTGGTGGATCTGTACTTCGGCCTGACTTATTCCCCATCGGAATTCATCGTCACGAAAGTTGCCAAATAAGTAATAAGTCATTCAGCAATTATGGCTCTTTGAAACTGTAGCTGATGTGCAAATTGATTTTCTTTAGAGAATTTTAACAACCGTGACGCCTTTGTTCATAACCTTAAATTTGCAAGTGCATACTGCCATGTGACTGAGGATTTAAAGGTACAGGTATTATCTTTCATTTTCTTTATAAGCTTTATATGAACAAGAGCTCTTTGAGTATTCGGGGAAACGAATTTGGCTAACTTTCCATGTTTATTTCTTTTCAGCCTGAGATTTCGGCTTTTCAAAGTGAAAAGGCTTGCAATCCTGATTTCATTTTTTATTCTATTGAGGACAAAATTCTGCATGTATGTTCCTTCAAACATTCTCAACTTTCCCCTTAAACGGTTATTTTGGAGTTTCTTTTTTTCACTTTTTTTTTTGTTTTTGGATGAAAATAGAACTTTATGTAACTCGAAATATGACAGCTTTTTGTCTTTTCTTTCTAATTTTTTGTTAATTATGCGCTGTCTTATGTAGTTTTATTTCTGTAGGAAAAGCCAAGAAGTCCATGTATTCTTGAAATCAGAGAGGGGCAGTTGCACCTTGTACGTCGTTTAACTTTGCCTAGCGAGCTTTTGTTGAGGAGTACTATTGGACCTTGGCCAAATTTCACAACGCCGTCAGATCATATACCTTTGGTGGTTGACTTCGCTTTATTATAACATAATAAATAGATATGTAACTATATAACAAATTGTTCAGGATGCTGATGTGTAAACTCAATCATTATATTTTTTTTCAAATCTAAACAAACATATATATTTCCTGCGGTGGAAGTGGATAAGAGGCCTTATCTTTGAAGGATATGTCTGTAGCAGGAGGTAAGCTCGGGCACGTAATATGGGTTTTTTTGAAAACAATAAAAACACCGCTTAGGATAGCGTTTTTAAAGAGTTTTCCGTGACGGCTCTTTTTTGTTTTGCCGTCTGGAATCATGATGTTCATTGAACTTACTTTGGAGTTGTTTGTAGTTCTCTTTCTGGACGTCTGCAGTGAAGTCCCCTTGCTTTGTAATCAAAAATTTGCAAACTGTGTTGCTTAAGCACCTGCAGTTTTCGAATTGTTGATATACTGTGGTTCC